ATAAACACATAGAGCATGGCAACATAAGTATGATATGCACCTAAAACCAATCGTCCAAGGTATTTAAACCTAGGAGCTCTGATACCACCTGTAACGACCCGAATTTCTCAACCCGGTGCGTTAGTGATGAACCGAAAGTTGACCCGATAACGAACCCAAAATGCGGAAGCGAAAGAAGCCAAATGACCTCAAGAGATGTACGTCATCCCTAAGGCCCCAAAATGACTCTCCATGAAGCCACGAAACTTAAATGAGCCAAGCAAATGAAGCAAGAATGCCTAACCCGAAAAGAGATGAACTAAGGGCAAAATGGTCATTTCTCACTGAAAAGGGTGCCACCGTGCACACCATTGGAAGGACAACGAAAAATGAACAAAATTAGACTCAAGAATCGTCTGATTCTGAGTCCGGGCAGAAAAGATATGAAATTCCAACACCCGATGTGAAAGTTATGAAGCAATGACTTAACATTTTCCAATATTTTCATAATAAACTTCGAAAACAAAAGTGCATAGAAAATGAGATACATGTCATTGGCCTTTGACCTCATCTCATACATGTTAAATACATTGAAAAGAGTGCACTTATGTACACTTTACATATACGAATCAACGAATACAAGTTTAAACAAATAGGGTTACAAAGAGGCATCTTATGCTAACACTTGTATAAAATAAAAACATAGAAACTGTAAGCCATCCAAGGAGCAATGGAATCTTCAAATCTTGAGTCCTGTACCTGAAATATGCCCCAGTATCGTAGGGGTGAGTAACATAAAGCTACTCGTAGGAGATGAGCATTCATCGACCTAACATTTTACAATTTTATCACCTTATGGTGAAACATGTTAAAGGGGCTCATGCCACCTAACGTCTATGTCAAGATGAGACTCAGGGAGCATCCTAAGCTACCTAGATCATTTCTATCATAATCACATTGTTCATACAATTCAAACAACATGGAAACATGTTATAGAAGGCAACAAGATATAGATTCTCAAAGTCTTCAACTTGAAATCCAAAATATGAAAACAACAAGTGTGGGTTATGCCGCCTAACGTCTATGTTCAAAATGAATCTATAAGGTTATTCCTAAACTACATTTGAACATCAAAATACAGATTATGATATCGATGCAATTTAACCAATAATGGAACTTCCAATACAATGCATGAAGCATGCTTTCACAAAGCTACATCTTAAGCTCAAAATAGAAAATCAAATAAGGAACAACAAGTTACGATATCATCTAGTTATCAACTTGAAATGAAATACGAAATCAAACAAAGTGGATACTCGGACGTCACGCCGGATTAGACCGACAACATAGTTACTTTAGGTTTACTAGCCCATGGGTAACCTCCCTATGTGCGCACTAGACTGTATAGAGAGACAGTCCCTCGTACTAGAACCAAGTCCTAACCGTAGCCAAACAACGACATCCCCAAGTTTCCAAAATCAACAAATTGTGCAACAACGTATTGTATAAGATATCAACTATTTACCAAGCACAATTCAAATTTTGGAAACTTATACAATACATGCTCAAAATTCACAACTACTATGGTATGTAAGATGTCAAATATAAAGTGTGCAATTCCTTACACATAGCAATAATATATTCAATAAGGAAAAATATATTCTCAGGAATATAAAAGTAACAACTATATTATCCAATGCTCAAAAGTAATCAAGTGAACATATATCAAATCCAAATCCATGATTTAAATATAGAAACAACTTCCAAAATGCAATTAAATCCATGGAGTAATAAAGTAGAATTTAATTAAACATAAATAGTTAAATTCTCTAAATGCCAAGTTAATCCAAATAATCTCAATTTAATATATATTAAAAGACATGTCATGGTCATCATATATATAACTTCAAATGACAAGTTAAGTGATTAAAACACTTAAAACAAAATTAATCAAGCTAATTAATTAATTTCCTCTAGATTTTTAAACAATTCCAAATGCCCTCAATTTAATCTATGTTAGAGAACATGCCAAGGCCTATTTAAATATCACATTACAACTTGATTTAACACTTGATATAACCATGTGAATTAAACTTTCACTAAAGATAAATATTAAATAAAAGTTGTAATTCTTAATCAAATGATCCAAATTTAATATATGTTAACCAACATATCTGAGCATAATTTCCTAGTATGTTACAATTCAAATCAAAGTTATACATCATCATAAATTTTAAATCTTATACAAAGAAATAAAAATTACTAACTTTCTAGATTTGATACAAGACATACATATATGTTGTATAATCATGGGAAGCACACAATACAACACACAAATAATCCTAAAACATTTCCTATCTCAATTGGAATGAAAATCCCAATTACCACCGAAATGAAATCGCCCCAAATTTTCGGTCCGCAAAACAGATTTTTCAGCTTGCTACCTTCAACTTGTAAAATTCATAAAATATTCAATTCTAACCCAAATTGAATGAATCCAAAGCCCAATGAAAGCTTAAACACTGTAATTTGATAATATCAATTTAGTTTAACAAAATATTTTCCCAATTGAAACAGTTTTGAACCACAACTTTGAAACAAATTCTGCCCAGAAAACACATTTTCAGCCTGTAGCTTCCAACTTTGAAAATTCATGAAAAATTCATTTGACATCCAAATTGGGCAAACCTAATTTATTTTAGAAGTAAACATATGAGAGTGTAAAACTGAAAATTTAATCCATGATCCAATGTCAAAAGGTTTGTGAAATAAATCATTTAAAAATATGTTTTTCAGCTACAATAAAAACATGGACAGCAGATAGTTTCAGATTTTTAAAAAAAAAATTAGAAATGCTCTAAAATCGTGAAAAAATTCTAAGTAGTGTAAAACCATGGGGAAAGTTCCAGTAAAAATTTCAAGGCAATTGAAGCACCACAGCTCCATATAAAAATTCATTTCCAGACCGAAAAGGAAAAGCTTCAAATTTCCAACAACTAGCTTGCAACTTCAAAAATTCATAACTAATTCATTTTAAATCCAAATTAAATGAAAGCAAAACTAAATGAAAGCTAATTGAGTATATTTTTATATTCTATATTTAATTTGACAAGATTAATTTCAAGTTAAAATAGTTTAAGGGCAAAATACAAGTCCTTCTCTTCCATGTCTGTAAAACACTCAATAATGACATAAAAATACTTCAAAATAATAGATCAATACCTCACTAGAGAATTGAATCTCTAGATACCAAAATTAAACTAGGAGTTAGGCTAGATCCTTCAAGGGTTTTGAAGAGGAGAGTGGGAGGAGCCTAAAGTATTCCAAGTTTAAAGTTCTAAGGTGAGTGAAAGGGCACCAAAAATGAAGTCAAAGCTATTAGTCAAGCTTTTCTCCAATGGTGGCTTCCTTAGGGTTCTTGAGAGGAAAGTGATGAATGAATTAAAATGTGTAAACCCTAAACTAAATTGGTGGGCTTCTCCACTCACTAGGTGCTCTTGCACTACCTCTCACACACACACTAATGTAAGACTAAAGGTGAGTCTTACACTTGTCATGAATCCAAGTAAGTTTCCAAGATTAAATATTAACCCTACACTTGTTAACCATCCATGCCAACAAGTGCACCAATCCTAGGACAACAAGTGGGTGAATCTCCACCCTCAATGTGTCATGAGATTAAGCTTCCAAGTGTTTCCACCACAAAATCAACAAGTGGCACCATAGGAATGTGACACTTGTCACATTTTTCAGAAATTGCAAAAAGGTCCTTTTTGAAAATATCTTCCAATTTAATTTGCAAAATAGTCCCTAAGACAAAAAAATAAGTACTTTACTTAATTACCTAAAAACCCCTCAAGTTATGGATAATTACAAAAAGTCTTGTTTTCATAGCTTTTACAAAGAAAGTAAGCATTTAATATGCATTTCTACCAAAGTAAAAATGTAGATGTCATGGAATTTAAATGTCATGGCCGTATACCAAGCCGGAATCAAATCCGAGCACAAAAAGTGAGGTTAAGTAAGGAAAAATGAAAAACGACTAAAGGACGAAAAAGGGAAAAGACGAAAAAATGAATAGTGTCAAAAAAACAAAAAAATTTGGAAATGTCTCGGTCCTCAAAGGAAGTTGTCAATCTAAAAGAAATAGTCTCATAAACCATTTTCGAGTACTCGAGATGACACTAAGAGGTGGGAAATCGAACCCGAAAAGGAAAAGACAATGAAAAAAATTTATTCGCAAAATTTGAAGAAAGGGAAAGAAATGAAAATGACCGGGTCATTACATGTCTCTAGCCTCTTCATTCAAAAATGGGTTAACTGAAACCTTGTCCTTCTTGAGTAGTTATCCAAGATTCTCTTCAAGTGACCAAGCTCTCTTCAAGAACTTCCAACTTCAAGTCCCTTCTATGATGACTACTTATGCCGAGTCTACTCAAACCCTCCACCATTGTGCTACTCAAACCCAAGAAAAGGAAAAGCTGGCCAAAACTTTGAAAATGGGCAAAAAACTCCACTCATCTTTGAAGAAAGAAGCTGCTGAGTTAGAGATCAGAGAGAAGAAACTTCCAGCCGAGCTGGCTCAGTTATAGCTAGACAAGACCCAGCTTAATGAAAAAGTGATAGAATTAAAAATCCAAGCTGAAACTGCTGCTCCCAAATTCAAGGCGTTGCAGACCCAATTGCCTCATTTGGAGCGGTCTAAGAAGCAAGCAGAGACCAAGCTCCAACAAACTATTACCTCCTGGGCCGGTTTCAAGGCAAATTTGAAGTTTTTTACACAAACTTTACCCAACCTTGATCATTTTTCTTACACCAAGAACTATCTGTTTACAAAGGACTGTAATATGGTTTTGAACAATCTTACTTTTCGTGGGCTTGATTTAATGTTTTGGACAATATTTGGTATAATGACCTCCGGAATTTCATTTTACTATATCTTTATTTTGATTTATTTGCTTCAAAATAACTTACATAAAACGAAACAACATAAAACAAAACAATACAATCCAATCTATTTTTTACTTAGTGGAGGTCTTCTTTTCCTCCATAAGGTCAAAAATAGTTGGATTATATTTCTTCAAGTACCTTCCATTTATTGGTCTCTCATGGATTTCACTATCTAGATCTTTTAACCTGTAAACGCCTCCATGTAATACTTGATGAACCAAATATGGACCCTTCCAAGTAGGTGACCACTTGCTATAAACTATATCCACCTTCCCAGCTGGAAGGATTGTTTGCCACACCATATCGCCTTCTGTAAATGACTTGAACTTCACCCTTTTATTGTAAGCCCTCATTACTTTTGCTTTATGAACCATAAGGTGGTCCAAAGCAAGTTTATGGACTTCATCTAAATCTTCTAACTCAATAAGCATAGCTTCGTTATAATCAGCAGGTATGAGATTATGTTGCAAAGCTATCCTTGCCGATTTAACGTTTAACTCCATCGGCAACACTGCATCATGACCAAATGTTAATCGATATGGAGTTGTTCCCGTACTTGTCCTTTTTGAGTTTCTATAGGCCCATAAGGCTTCTGAAAAAGTTTCATGCCAACACCTTGGTTTGTTTTTTATCATTTTCTCAATAATTTCAATAACAACTTTATTTGAAGCCTCGGCTTGACCATTCCCTTGAGCATAATAGGGTGTTGAAGTTACCATTTTCACCTGCATATCACGGCCAAGTTGTAATACTTCATTTGCTTGAAAAACAGATCTATTATCGTCAACAATTGTTTCCGGTAATCCAAATCGATGAAAGATATGTCGCTCCACAAAATGTATAATGGTATTATGAGTTACCGATACATATTCCTCAGCTTCTACCCATTTAGTAAAGTTATCGGTAGCTAGAATAATCCAATGATGACCCTTTGATGAAGGAGGATTAATCTTGCCGATTAGATCCATAGCCCATCCTCTAAAAGGCTATGGTTTAACTACTAATTGCATTTCTATTGCTGGGACCCACTGCATTGGACCATGTTTTTGACAGTCTATACAACCTTTTGTATAAGTCATACAATATTTTCTTATTCCTGGCCAATAATATCCATATCGGTGTATCAACCACCTCATTTTTATGCCAGCTTGGTGGGCTCCACATATCCCTTCATGTACCTCAGCCATAATCTTCAAATCTTCAAACTTGCTTATGTACTGAAATAATAAACCATCATCAACCGATCTTCTATAAAGATCTCCATCCATAAGCACATAATCGATTGCACTTCTTTTAATTCTTCGATCGGCTTCAGGAGTTAGATGTTGCAAAAACAAGATGTAAGGAATTCGCCAATCATCATCATCCAATTCGGCAACATCAGTGGCAAAAACTTCTTCCATAATTTGATTTCTTGTTTCAGCTAATGGAAGAGATCGGCGTGTAATCTTCATTACTCTTTCCTTCATTCCACTCGGCACCCTTACTCCGGAAGTTGTCTGTACTAAATCATTAGCTAGTTTATTCATGGCCCTTGGTCTATATTCTAAAGTCACATTGTGAAATTGGTTAACCAATTGGGTTGCCAACGAATAGAATGGTCTTAATTGCCAATTCAAACATCTAAAGTCTTTTGAGATTTGATTAATCACTAAACTCGAATCTCCCACAATGTGGACATCTTTGACTGCCATTTCCAACAGAATTTCCAAGCCGATAATTAATGCTTCATATTCGGCTTGATTATTTGAACACCTGAAATCCAAAAAGAAAGAAAACAAGATTTGATTCCCTGTTGGGGATATTATCATTATACCAGCACCCGAGCCTTCATTGGTACTTGACCCATCGAACATTAAAGTCCATGGAGTCATGAATATGGATGCCGAGTCAAGCTCATCAAATACTTGTGACTCAATTTCGGGCGAGGGATAATCAGCAAGAAAATCTGCCAATGCTCTTCCCTTAATTGCCTTTTGTGGAACATATGCAAAGTTGAATTCCATTAGCGCCAAAGCCCACTTGCCAATCCGGCCTGTGATTAATGGCCTCGATAGCATATACTTTATAAGATCGGTTTGGCAAACAATATAAACCAAAACAGGCAACATATACACTCTTAATTTCATTGCTGCAAAATACAAGGCCAAACATAATTTCTTAATCGGTGTATATCTACACTCGATTGGAGTTAAAACTCGACTGAGGTAATATATTGCTTGCTCGCTTCCTGCTTCATTCTCTTGTGCTAACATAGCTCTAATGGATTCTTCAGCTGCCGATAAGTATAATTTCATCGGCCATTTCTTCCTTGGTAGCATCATGACAGGAGGACTCGACAAGTATTGCTTGATCTGGTCAAATGCCCTTTGATGAATATCATCCCATCTGAATTCTTCCATCGACTTTAACTTAAGTAGCGGGGAAAACACATGTAACTTCCCAGCTGTATTAGCAATAAATCTCCTAAGATAATTCACTTGTCCAAGTAACCTCTGCAATTGTTTCTTGCTTCTCGGTGCATTAGCATCAATAATCGCCTTAGCTTTATTCCTATCAATCTTTATACCCCTTTGATGAACCAAGAAACCCAAAAAGTTTCCTGCCGATACTCCAAAGGCACACTTTATTGGATTTATTTTTAGCTTATGAGCCCTCATCCTCTCAAAAAATGCTTTGAGGTGGATTAGATGCTCTTTCCTTGTTGTTGATTTTACCACCACATCATCAATGTACACCTCCATAAACTTACCGAGCATATCATGAAAAATAGAATTCATGGTTCGTTGATATGTGGCCCCAACATTCTTCAACCCAAAAGGCATTACCACCCATTCAAAAGTTCCAATCGATCTGGGACACCTAAAAGCTATTTTTGGAATGTCTTCCTCGGCTATATAAATCTAATTATAGCCTGAGTGTCCATCCATAAAAGACATAATTTGGTGCTTTGCAGCCACATCAATCAGCTGATCGGCTATTGGCATTGGATATTCATCTTTTGGCGTTGCCAAATTTATGTTTCGGAAATCAACACATATACGTAATTTTCCATTCTTCTTGATAATAGGGACAACATTTGATAACCATTCAACATACCTTGTAATTCAAATGAAGCCAGCATCCAACAATCGTTCGATTTCCATCTTGACTTTGTCTACTACTTCTTGAGACATTCGACGAGGTGGCTATTTATATGGCTTGTAGCCATCTTTAATGGGCAACCGATGTTCCACCAAATCTTTGGATAAACCCGACATTTCTTCATAGCTCCAAGCAAAATAGTCACTGTATTGTTTCAACATACCGATAACCTCGGCTTGTAATTTTGGTTCTAACAGTGTACTAATATAAGTAGGTCTAGGTTCTGTGTCAGTATCTAAATTCACCTCCTTTAAAGGATCCTGAGTATCTGCTTTAAGATCGTCGAGCTTTACTGGTGCTAACTCCAAGTCTTCCAACTAAATTGCATCCAACTTTTCAATACTGAACCGATTAATTTCAGTAAGATTGACCGATGGTCCTGGCTCTATTATTGCTTCTTTCTCTAGTCGTTTTTCGGTGATGTACGCTTGAAGCCTGATGCAAGCAGCCCTAAAGGCTTGCTGCCGAGCAGCTTCCCTTTCAAGTTTCGTCTCCATCAATAACTTCTTCAATTATAGCAAGCTGAGGGCATTTTACCTTCGGCCTAGAATTCTCCTGCTGTAACTCGCTTATTTTACGATCGGCAAGACTTCTTCTCATAGTTGCCGAGGTTGGTCTTCCATCGGCTCCTATTCCCACAAACCGGATAGGAACACATTCTTCGTCATATAAAACAGCATCTGCCGAATACACTTTTGCCACAAATGGCTTATCATCGGCATTTACTATTTTTACTTTATCTCCATCCCAAAAAATCAGCATCTGATGTAATGATGATGGGATACACATATTCGGATGAATCCAATCACGGCCTAATAACAAGTTATAGGAAGCCGTGGATTCAATAATAAAAAATGCCGCATAAGACGTCCTACCTCCAACCTCTACTTCTAAAGGAAGGATCCCTTTAGTGCTGGTAGAACCTCCATTGAAACCATAAATTGCTACATCAGTAGGAATAATATCTTCCATACTCTTGCCGAGTTTCTTCAATGTGTTTGCTGGAATAACATTCAAAACCGAGCCATTGTCTACCAAGACTCGATTAATAGGTTGACCTTCTACCCACACCTTAACATACAAAGGCCTGAGCTGTTGAGTCATTGCTAACAGAGGTTTTTCAAAAACCACCTTCTCTGCCGATTCTAAGGAAAGAATTGATAAATTCCGAATCGGCTGAGTTTCCTTCTCATTCTTCTCAGTATTTGCATTTGATGCCGATGGAGCCTGGAACATTGCTGGTAATACAAATGCCATGTTACATGACATCTCGTCTGGGAAACTGCCAAACTGAATTCTGAATTCATTGTTACATCTAGGCCACGTCGGCTGATGCTCTTCATCCGAGTTATCTTTATCTGGAATGCCAATAACCTCAACTTGCACTGCTTTGCTTCCTCCTTCAGCTTTTCTTTTTTTTCTCAGCCCTTTTCCTTTGTTCTCTACACTTCTGAGATCGAGTTAGACCCCCATTCTGAGATTGTTGAGCTTTAGGGAACTTTGGATGATTAACTCGAGTCCAATTATCTTTAGTCGAGTCTGTCCTTGGTTTCACAGTTCGTACTCTATATGAATTAGCTCATTTCTGTACCCAAATCTCTGACTGAATTGGTGACTGCCTCTTAAAACTGGGATGCCAATTTTGGGAATGAAATCGGCTAGATATATCACCTTGCCGAGTTGGCCTTCCTGCTTTTAAATGGCTGTTGCTGGAATCACTTTGTCGAAGCTCCTTCCCAGGCTTCAACGGGAAAATAAGCCTCTCAAGAATTCTTTTCTTCTTTGGTTGAACGTCCATTAGCACATCTTCCTTTGGTTGTTGCTTTCCTTTGCAATTTGGGCAACAACCATTATCAATCAAGGCTAATTGAGCCTCCCTTAATTACTTTTGCAATTTTGCCATCTTTTCAGGTGTCGCAGTTGACGAAAGAAATTCACCAGATAACTTCTCTTCCTCCTGCCGATCCTTTCGCTTAGCTAAGCTTATTACATTTGTAGATGTGATTGTTGGAAACGGATTAGTATCCACCTTCATGGTCTCCGGAGTTTTCTCCGGGAACTTTAAAGTGCCTTTATCAATAGCTTTCTGCAATACACCTCATAGAATAGTACAATCATTAGTAGCATGGTTCCAAGAGTTATGATACTTACAATACTCTTTTCCCTTCAAGTCACTTGCCGATGGAATCCTACACCCTTTAGGCAAAGATATCATTTTATCGGCTATCAAGTGATCGAAAATTTGATTTGTTTTCGACAAGTCGAAAGAATAACTTTTCCCGGTATTGGCAGGACTTTTCCTTGCTGCTGATGTTGACGTTAATGAATTGCCCCCCGTGGTCGGTTTTGGTTTAACCAACACCTCACAAACGTATGAATTTTTTATATTAACCTCTGCGACGTCAACTTCTAATTCATCTCTAACTTCTGCCGAGAATACATCATAATTAGGGTCCTTGTACCAAGTACCCTTAGAAGAATTTTTCCTCTCTTTCTCTTCTTTTAGTATCTCCTCATACTAAGAAGCCCTGCCTGCCAAATCAAAGAGATTTTGAAACTCCACCCCATCAAACCTCTTGCGATGTTCAATGTCTAAACCATTTAATGCCAACTTGATGTATTCTGATTCTGGCAAACTTACTCGGCATTTGAGTTTAACCTTTCTGAACCTGGCAACAAAAGTCTCAACCGATTCACTCGGTAACTGAGATAATCGAGATATGTCTGCCAGTGTAGCTTCTGTCTCTGTTCGGTAGAATTGGGTATGGAACGCTTCCTCCATCTCATCCCAAGTCTAAATAGAATTAGCCGGTAAGTTACTGTACCATTCAAAAGCTGCCCCGGCAAGAGAGCTAGATAATAACCTCATCCTTAACCAAGGGTTAGGACCAGCTTCTCCATATTGTGCAGTGAACCTTGCAATATGCTGTATTGTAGATAAATTTTCTTTGCCACTGTACATAGAAAAATTGGGATACCGATAATTTCTAGGCAACTCATGGGCATCAATGCGATCAGGATAGGCTTTCTGTATACCGGCTGAGCACGTCTACGACCTTGTGCCACTTCGGCCTGTATAAAAGCTAAAATCTGAGCCCTATCAATCCCTGCATTTCTTCCCGGAGGATCATTTGGGTGCCGCGGAATGAATGGATTAACCCACTCCCTTTGTGGATCGGCATTCACTTGCCCCCCAGCAGCCACTGGAGGTATCAAAGGATTGACCCTACCTTGGTTTAGATCGCCGACACCTTCTTGCTGATTTCTTACTGGTGGAATCAGCTGCTCATTGGAACGCTGCACAGGCTGATCATTCATTAATGGCTAGAACACCGGCACAAGATTCACCACCAATGGATTTGATAAGATTGGTGGATTTCCTATTGGCATGCCAAGTATATGATTCGGCACGTTGCTGATCGTAACACCAAGTCCTGCACTTGGCGGTACGGTGCTTGTTCGTAGTCCTTGGGATATATGCACCAATGGAGCCGTCATACACTAAAATATGGACTCATTGACATGAGATGCTTCAGCTTGATCATGTCGTCTTTGATTAACCGATATATTGGTTTCAAGTTTTTGATTCATTTTCTCCAACTGAGCATACATCATTTGGTTCAACTCCCCTGTCATCGATCTCATCTCATGAATTTGAGAAACCAAAAGCTGATTTGATTCTCCCATTTGAGATCTCACCTCACCGATCTGAGCTTGCTGGGCATCAAAATTTTGCATAATCAATTCCAGTACCCGACCCAAAGGAACGTCGGATGGAATAGAAGAGTCGGCATCATCGCTTACGCAGTGGATTTTCTTCGTTAGTATTATCTCCTGTATTCACGCCTTTCGAACCTCTTATCTTTGGAGGCATCCTTACTATACTTGCTCACCTGATGAGGTCCCACCGGGCGTGCCAAAAATGTTGACCCTAAAATCAGCTGGCTAGAGCCAATCTTAAATTGATGTGTTGCGGGCGTGCCAGAACCAAATATATGGTTCAATTGTGAGTTGTCAACTTATAGTCTCTTAGGGAATGTTGACTTCAGGCGATTATAGGAGATAGAGAACAAATAAACTCCTAAATGAGTTCAATATTGCCTTAGTTAAAAGGACTTTACCAATGAATAAATTATAGTAACGTAACAAGAGAATAGAAAGGGGGAGATAATGGATATAGCAAGAAAAGAAAAGGAAAGAATGAGGAGAGAAGAAGAGAGAGAGAGAAAGAGAGAGATACTAAGAAATTGAGGTAGAGATGAAGAAGAAATAGCAAGGATGTTATTCTTAGAAAGGCTTAAAGAAGCAAACAAATAATAATAAGGATTCTGAGGGTGCTGGACCTCTAGTTCAGCATGCCTCTTTGTTTATTTATAGAAATTGTTAGAAACAAATTCCTACCAATAAGTATTCTAATTACAATAAAACTCTACCTCATCACTAAATACTGAATTTAAATTCAAACTAAAGTTCCTAGATAAATATTAATTCTTAACTAAAACCTTGTAAACATATAAATCTTATCCAACATAAAATTCAAAAGTATTTCAAATATAATCTATATGATCGGTGATGCCCTTGTGTGTAGCACGTCATTGCCCTTTCTCTTGTAATCCATATCCATGTGATGTGTATGGCCTAACATCTTAACTGCATTGCATTATCCCAGCCGGAAACCAAA